GAACATAACTGCCAGAAACTTAGATATGAAACGCATGGCCGCTCGGTATTTTTGTTCCCAGATAAAACATTGATACTAGCAAAAGGGAAATAAGTTTTAAACAAACTATAAAGAGGGAAGTCAACATTTGCCATCTGTCACAGTTTATTACTTTTTGGCTAAATAATTGATCTGGTGCTGAGAAGATTGTTTCATTTGTAGTTAATTGTCCGTCAGGTTTATCAATATTTGCTGAATCGTTCCTTGTGCTTTAGCAAAACAGAAATCTTCATCTTCGGGCGACTCACAATGTAAAGAAGTCGTAACTGGATATTTTGCTAAAATTTGTATACGTTATTACGAATTTACCCCTTTCATCCCTTAAGTGACTAGCATCTAATTTCTCCTTTCAATATCACCGCTGAATCACACATTTAAGTCACGAGATGAAAGGAAATGATCCCTAACTTAACAAACTCTTGACTGTTAAATTCTCCTTGTCGGCACCTCAGGAATTCTATACAGACTGGTAAGGAGAATATGCATACTGATGTTAAGGTGTAAATGGTTAAGGATGGGTTAACTAAGGAAGAATGATGTGAAAGACGTCAAAAACAAACATTTAATTTTGATTAAATGACACTGAAAATGAGAGAAAACAAGAGTAAATTTTGGTTCATCTAAGATTGTTTTCTCGACCACTTGTGAGAGTCGACAGTTGATAAAGCTGCTGGGTTCGTGATCTTCGTCGAGTGAGCTTCGAAAGATGAATTGATCATCGTTGTTTCAGGCCTCTTTGCATGAAATTGGGCAGGCTTGTAACCAAACAGCAGTCTCTCTTTCGCGCTATTTCACGTGTATTTCGCCACCTTCTCCGGGGAAGCCCGCAGGATATGTGCGAGCAGTCTGGCTTATTTCTCGTGCCGAACCCCACACAGACCCGTCTGCAAGCAAAGCGGGCGGTTTAAATAATAGGTGAACAACAGTGTTTTGGTACAGTGGTCATCGTAAAGACAAAACCATCTCAAGTTGATTATCTATAGCGTTTTGGCTCTTTTATTTTTTTCACACCACTACAGTTTACAAGCAATTTAAAGAAATTATATTACTTTTTAAAATGTTCTCATAGAGGGCCCTACCCCATACACCCCCAAATTACTGTTCTAGCACAACCAATGAGGTCGGTCAAACTAAGATATCTAAGTTTTAACCGACGTGGAATCACAGAAGTAAATATATTTGATGTGAAACTTCCATTTCTCTCTCTCAATACATGCAGACGTAATGCCATTACATAAATTATTTATCCGGCAAGCTCAAAAAGTGTTATGACAACCTTCCCATCTCCTTCTCCTAACCTTTCTTCCTTCTCCGGCTTAGCGCCAGTGTTAAAAGACCCTCCCCCGCCAGCTATAGTTTCATTCTTATCCTTCACAACGCCCCCACCCGAGTACCCACCCCCTGCCCCGGGGTACACCCATGCTGCACCACCTCCTCCAAACCCTCCATGGCCTTCAAGGGGAGAGTTTCCCCCTCTTCCTCCATTTACAAATCCTTTTCCTCCTTCTTCTATGTTGCCAGACTGCCCATCCCCGTT